AGGAGCAGTCGAATGTAGTGAAAATCCATCACCTTTAGTGTGGAATGCTACATTTGGAAAGATCCGTTCTGATGTAGAAGCTCACATTGGCAGAGTTGGAAACATTACTTACGATTGCAAAATCACTACGTGTTGTGCAGATCAGCCGGTGCACTAATATCTCCTAGTTTATCAATCATCAGTTTTTTAGGCGAAAAGATCCTTCTTTGGTATGAAAGGACATTCATCTAGTATGTCTTGTTTCTACTGTCTGAGCGAAGAAACACTGTACAAGCGGGGTGGTGTAAGCCGAAAAGAACAACGATACGGAAATCTGACTGTGTTGGATTCCAAAAACGGAGAAAATGGATTCTCATCGAAAAGTTCTAAAGTTGTAGAGGTCATTGCACCTTACAATACTCCGATTGACATTTTGCACAATACCGGAGAAGGACTTTTTGATCGTATTCGGAAAGGTATACACTAATAATATTCCAGTATAGTACTGTAGCGATACCTCTATTTCCAGAAATCTTTCCTCCAGATACAAAATTTATCCGAAAGTCAGACTTATTCGTCATTGATCCCAGCTCATTCGCGCGTGATATTCGTCGAGTATACTTGCATTCCAATTACGAGAAAATTGAAAACCTTCGCAACGGCTCAGATAAAACTCATGTAGGAGACTGCAAAATTACAGTACAAAATTTTCGTTTTCAGCACCTTCGTCTCACGCTTGCTCTGACAGCCCTAGATCAGATTCAATGAAACCAAAGGCTAGACTAGTTCTAATAGCCTTAGGATTTCTGACAAATAAGATGTACAGTAATACGCAAGCTCCAACATTGTTCGATATTCAGCTGTCGGCCGCTGCAGCTTGGTATTTGGCGGAAGCTAATAAGGAGTATATCACAATGAAAACCCACGTAAGCAGATAGTGGTATTTATGAAGTATTAAGTTGCATTCAGGAACTTTTGTATCATCTAGCAGATGTGAACAAACTTTTTGGAAACACCGGGTTATTATCTACATTCAGCTTTGAGAGCTTCTATCAGTTTTCATTATGTGGTTACAGTACTTCCATCACACGTTTCTTCCTTCAAAATGCATGCACAAAGTTCGTCCATTATTTTCATTTTATCAATCCTCAACCCTTTAATAAGTTTAGGTTCCTCCTACATACAAGTTTGAGAAGAGAAATCGTCAGGCGTTCGAAACCTCTGGGAACCGAGTCTCTCAAACGTTTTTTATCGTTAACACCGGATTTGGGAAGTAGCCATGTGACATGGGATGGGAGAATCCGAGATGTGCAAAAGATTGATAAAGAAAACATTCCGATTGAATCGGTTTTGTATTCTACCATGTATTTGCCTCTTGGATCTTTAATTTCCGAGTATAGCTCCCCTCAAACAAACAACGATATTGTTTTTGCGAGCTGTAAGGGACGTAAGACGTGTTTTCGATTTGTTGCAGCAGTGGTTACGACGAGCCTTGTAGGAGCGTTAGTGGAGCCGATCGAGGCTGTTTCTGAAGATCGAAAACTGATGGATTTACGGAAAATTCGCAATTCCTTATCAAACGCAGATTTTTATTACTACTCGGAAATGGTTAATCAGTTGATAAATTATGAAGGACTAGTCGAGGGTTCTCTTTCTGGGCGCCGAGAAGTTATTCCTGTAGACTCGATTCTAGGTGTCGCTTGTTATGTTAGTACTGAATCTTCTAGTATTTTTGTGCAGGCCAACGGCGCCTACATTCATAATTGAAAAGATGAATTTTAATTTAAGCTAAGTTGAATTTTTACTCTCGATTGTTATATATGACATTTTTCTCCGTTAATTTTCAATGAACTTCTCAATCGGAAAAAATATCGAATGGGGATAGATTTTAAATTTTTAGGCAATGCATTATCTAACACCCAATAGATCATCAAGACCAGCTCCTTACCGGCTCCCTTTGACTACAAGAACAAGCCCATCTACATCTTCTTCTTCTCGATTGTTTGTTGATGAGAATCAGAGGAAACATGCTCGTGGAACTGACTACACTCGTGGAAACTTGTATACAGCCACAGTGAACCAGAAATGGTCCCCAATAGGATTCGCAGCTACACAGTTGTATGATATGGAGACCGGAAGTGCATTTGACCGGGAAACATGTGAAGTGAGCAATTCTGTAGAACTATTAAAATAACATAACCTCTATTTTTAGCGCAACATCGAAAAAATGATCAAGAATGACAGAGACATCGACTACATGGAGTGGCTCAATTTGGCAAGCAAATGTCGAGAAGAAGGGAAAGATCTTCTTGAAAAGTTCTCGCTGGGAATGGCCACTCAGACGGCACTGGTAATTCGAAACAGCAGTTCAAAACAAAATCTTGTCTTTTAAGAGCAATGCCAGAAATCGTCGTGCCCCCCGAGAAACGAAAACAGTATCCAATTTAGTTGGAAATATCGAAAAAAGAGGCTTCTCCTTGGATTCAGCAAAATGCTTCGACGAAGAATTAGAATTACCGAGTCGAAAAACATTTCGATTGTCGGATATTCTCACAGAAAATGTAGTATGCAATTGGACTTCAACTCAATTTGACGCTCATACGAAACGCTTGGCTCTTCACGTCTGGGATGCAGTCAGTTTGAAATTAGAACCTTGCAGTAATACTAACGATCAGATTGCTCTTGCAGGTTGATAATGCCGACGAGCTTTTGGTTTGCTATGGGTCTTCTCAAAAGGAAAACAAATATGTTCCTGTCAACCCTTCGATTTTCACGAAAATGAGCGGTAAGATTACTAATCAATACGTTATCAAGTCAGCGCATACTCAGACTACATCATCGCGGGTTTTGGTCAAACGAACAGCCAAGACCGAAAAACCCAAGTAATTTCCTATCTTCAATCTTCACTCGAGAATAAATTGTGAGTTTGTCCAAGTTTTCAGCTAAAATACCTCATCTACCTATATTCAGAAATAGAGTGAGAGCCCGATACAACGCGAAATTTGGAAAATCCCAAAGTGAGCAAGCAGCGATTTGGCTACATGATGAACTAATGAAGGGAGAGGCATCAGAATTGAAATCGTGAGTTTTTAAATTCAAAAAATTACCACTCTTCCGCTCAGTCGCACTTCAAAAAATGGAGAAATCGTAAAGAAAAATCGAGGCATCGCCATTTTCATCCAAAATAACCTCACGTTGGTTTCATCCTAGAAGACTCCGCGACCAATAGTGCGGGCTTCTGAAAATTTAAGCGGAGAGTACCTATATATTCGGCAATTGCACACTAACCGCGTTTCTTCGGTGATATAAATCGATTTCTCGTCCCAAAATCTTAAATTCCATCCGTAATTAGCAGAAATTTGTGCTCAGAATTCGATTTCATCCGTTTTAAACATGGCTCCGTTTTCTTCTCGATTATAATACTCTTATATAATGACGGTGTTTCCTGAAAATTCGTGCGGCGAGTACCTTGAATTCTAATAAAATTAACTAACCGTTCAATCCAACAATTCTGATCATAGTGAGTCGCGAATAGTCGTAACAGAGTGCATTGGCTGACTTTTGTTAACAAATAAAATGAGATGTACGCAAATGCGCGTCACGGTGTCGGCAGACTGGGCAGTCGAGTCGTCGACCGTACCTCGCAGTTGCCAAAACGTAGGAAAATTGAAAATAAGTCCGTCGCTTATTAGAAATAGTTCCGAATTCATCAAAGAGAAAAAGAGACAAAAAACGATATGTTTCTAACAACAAAACAAAAAGCCCAATAAACACATTAAGGAAAAACGAATTATGGGTCATCGGCTGACGAAAAACTAATTTCAATATTTTCGTTCTATTGTTTCTTCCAATTTTTCTTTTCAGACATCCCCTGAACTTCAATTCGAGCAATGTTAGTGGCGAAGACGCTCCCAACTTCAGCGGAATCCCAATTACGACGGATCTGGAGACGATGTCGACGACAGCATTGATATTGAAGGCTGCTAATGTATTTTGGAGTTTAAGGAAGTTTTCTTTTCCCATCACATTGTTAAATTGTTCTTTATTTGTTGCTTTTTTGTTATTGAATAAACATCGTTATTATTCTAATTCCTTATTTCGCATCGAATATTTTTTTTTTAATATTTGCGATAGGTCTATTATGGATAGAGTTTTCGCGATAGGTCTATTGTAGGTTTCGGAACAAGCCTATTATGAGTAAAATCGTCCTCAATTGGTCTACAATAGGTCTATTGCAGAAGTTTGTTCGCGATAGGCCTATTATTGGTCTATAATAGGCTTCGTGCCATGTACCCAAATCACCTACGCGCGAACCATTTTTCACCTATAATAGATCTTGCGCGAATCACCTGTGACATGACTTCAACCGAAAACCTCTTGAAACGCGCGCGCTTATAAAAGGAGGTGTTTCGTAGCAGCCGACATCTCGCGACTTACGCCGCCCACTATACTTTGCATTACAAACGACACTCCGCTGTACCGCGCGTTGTTTAGCGAGGACTCTTTTAACCCTGTTTATCAGTTTTCAAGCCTTTTTTATCAGTTTTCCAGCGTTTTCCAGGTTTCTTTCGGAAGAATGAAGCATAGAAACGAATTTCATGCTGTCGGAAACCTGAAACACGTGTTATCTCGTCAAAAACAGTGAATTTCAAGAGAAATCATCTGTTTTCAAACTTTCAGGTCTTTTCGCCTTTTTCAATACTCTAATCACTGAAATTAGTCAAAAATTAGGCGAAAAATGACCGAAAATCGTCAAAAATCGACCTGAATTTGTCAAAAAAGACTGTCTGAAAATATGCTAAAATTGAAATAAAAGTCTTGTAATTGACCTAAAAAATGAAATAAAAGGCTGAAAATGCTGAAAAAATTTTCAGCATTCAGCTTATATATCCCAATTTTCGTATTCTCAAGCTGAAAAATCGAAATTTTGGAGCTTTCAGGAATTTATAGAGAAAAATAATGTGATTTTGAGATTGAGAAAAATAATGTGATTTTGAGATTTTTAAAGCTCAAAATTCCCTTTTTGATTTTGAAAAATCGATTTTTCATGATTTTTTAGCACATTTTTGTCCAAATTTTACTGTACGAAAATGCCAAAAAAAATCTGAAAAATACCCAAAATGTTTGGAATTTTAGGATCATTTGAAAATTTTGTAGTTTGGTCGAGAATCTTCTAGAAGTTGTGTTTTCAGTTTAAGAATTTCTTGTTCCCATTACTTTTTCTTTATTATTTTTCATTCAAAAATTTATTGCTATTTTAAGAAGTATACATTTTCAAACACAATGTTATACACCATCAATCCTGCTGTGAAAATCGACGCAGAGAAGAAAGAAGTCCACTCGATACCATGCAATATACAGTACACCGGAGCAACGGAAGTTTCTGCAAATTTCATTCGTGAGCAGATTGAAGGGGAATCCTCTCAACGCGGAATGTTCCGCGGGCGGGGAATGGAAGGTGCCGATTGGAAAGCTCCGGAAGGGTTTGAAATCCACGTGCTGAAAGAGAGAAAAGGTTGGGACAGTAAATATCATACGTTCAGGTGGGCTGGCTGATAACTAGTTCCTAGAACTAGATATTCAGACAGTTTGGTACCAATTGATAGATCTGGACAGGGCCCATCACGCCAATATCATTCCGGCCTAACTCCATTGCGGTAACATGCCACAACCTGGGTTTGAATGAAAATGCTCGACTAATTTGACGAAAAGCATATTTTTCGACATTTTATCGGACCGGAATCCGGCTTGAATGATACGAGCGTGATCGGCCCTATCGAGGTCTATCATTTGGTACCAAAACCGTCTGAATATCTCGTTTCAGAGATAAGTTTTAAGCCTGCCCGCAAGTATGGGCTATTCATACAGTGTTTCAATTTGAGGTCCAAAAGGAGCTGTGCTAGATATCGAGAACCGTACGGACGCTATAAAAGTCTGGCAGTGGGACCGAACTTGTGGAGAACACAACGCTGATCGCACTTCAATAGCCCGAGCTTCTGCATACCTTCGAATTGCTCAGTCGCTAGCTAATGATTGAATCTCTATATTTACAAACTACATATCTTTATCACTAACAATCACTTTTTACAATCAACCTCCACTAATTTTGATCTCTTAAAACTTTGAAATACATGTTTTTCTGTCATACCTGATTTCTTTCCCGTTTTTGGTTTTTATACCAACTTGCTATCATATCCTCTCCCTTAAAATTTGTATCGCAAACTTTCAATGTTTTCAGAATGGGTAGAGTTTTCAAAAAGAAAGGCGGAGCTAAAAGAGAAGCTGAAGATGAGAAGAAGGAAGAATTTGTGATAAAAAAAAAGGCCAAGAAGGAAAAAAGTCCGGAACCTGAGCCAGAACCCGAATCAGAGTCGGACGATGACGTTGAAGATGTGAGTGACGAAGAGGTCGAAGATGAGGATGAGGATGAGGAAGAACAGAACATCATGGATTTCGACTTCGAGGGGTCCGCGCCATGTGACGACGACCGAGATGGAATCGTAAACATGCTTACCCAAACTTTCCTGCGTACAGATATCGACATGAAAGCGATGGCCGAAAGCATTATCTCCAAAGCTCCGCATGGATTAGTTCTTACGGTAATTTATCGAATTGAATGAGTTTTTTTTAATTCACATAGTCATTTCCAGCAAGCATATGACGATGAGCAAACTGAAGAAGATTTCATGGTTTACGGACTGTGTACCACTTTGGCGTTGAATGAAAATAAAGAAAACTCACCGAAATTCATCAAGGACATTTTCACCTACTTGTTGAACCGCGCAAAGAAGGGAGCACCTACTGAGATCTACAAGAAAATTGAAGAGATTCAAGAAGCAGGAGATGGAAAGACTGGACTTTTTGTGAATGAAAGACTTCTCAATTTTCCAACGATTGTTGTTCCACAACTCTTTGAAAGTATTAAAACAGATGTGGATAAATTCGAAACCAAGTACAAAACCATCGTCTACATTCAGAAGTTGCGAATCGCAGAAGGTGAAGAGTCGAATGCTGGTAGTTCTTCTAGTGAAGCGCCACCCAAGAAGAAGGGAAAAATGGGAAAGGCGGAGAAGAAGAGAGCTGCTGCTGCCGCCCTCGCAAACGCTGAGATTGAATTTGATAATCCAGAAGATAGAATTCTCTTCCAGGTAAAAACTCAAAAAATGTATTAGCTAGAGCAAAAAAATCATGGACAAGTTTTCAGCTGAAAGAAGGAAAGGAAGTGCATTTCGATTTTCCTGTTCACATGGACGTAGAGCCTGGAAGCAAATTTCATACAATCGAGAAAGAAGGAAAGAAGTACAATCCATTCCGTCGTCTTGTTATCATGGATGAAAAACGCTTCGATGCTTTTTTGAAGAAGGGATGTGACAGCATTGTCGTTTAAATTTTTAAAAAAATTTAAAATTAAAATTTTTTTCTATTCGCTGTCTATTTTTATGATCGTTGTTGTTGTTGTTTTCATGTTTTCACATTTTATAAAAAACTTTTTTTTTTTGCATTTTGAGAACGTTTGACTTTTTAGTTTTTTCAAAGCTAATATCTCGGTATTGTCGAACTGACACCTGAAAATCTCGCGGTTGGCCAGGGATGTTCGGAATGTCGGAAATTCTGAAGTAATTTCAAAAACTCGGAATTCCGATTAATTCACGGAAATTCAAAAATTCAAATTTGAAGTAGAAATTTCAATTTTTCATCACAAAAACGCCGAAAATGGTGAAAATTGACACAAAAATTTCGACAGCTCAAAAAAATAACAAAAGTGATTCCGTTCGAGACCCGCAAGGAAGTTTTTCGCGTGCGCCTTTGACATACAGTAGTTCAAAAATCGAATACTGAAAGAAAAACTTTGGAAATTTTCCGGTCGGAATTTTCTGAATTCTGTTCCGAACATCCTTTAACGGATTCGAAATTCTGAAGATTTGAGTTTTTACCGAGCCGCCTCGTAAATCAAAACAAACGACGGATTTTTTTCAATTCGGAAATAAAATTCCCAATACGATTGTTTTCGAATTAATAGATTTTTTCCGGAATTTCAGACAATGTCTATGGAAAAAACAGTTCGATTGGCGACTACAAAACTTGGAGAGAACATTCGAAACGAGTTGTTTGGTCCAATCCAGGAAGCATCTCGGAAACCATATCCCTTTGGCGAGTATTTCGTTTTGATTTGACCTAAATAAATCACTCTTTCCAGGTCTCGACCCACGCAATACGTGGTGCGTTCTCTCGGAGCTTCGCTTGAACATGCTGCTTTTGGATTTCAAGCCAGTCGGAGTCAATCGAAGTTTGAACATGCTTGCGCTGATCGACCGTATGAACGCGATTTCCGATGATGAAGATGTGTGTGTCAAGATTTTCTTGAATGGTATTGTTATACATATTTGTTACTCCTAACTACATAATTTTCAGACAAAGATACAAAGGTTTTTGAAGCCCAACGTCGCAATTTGGAAACAGGACGTCGAGGAGGACGTCATACTTTCGCACCCAAGTACACACTTCGTCCTACAATGGAAGTTATCAAGGCGAAACTAGACACGTATTTCAATATGGAAGTCTGTGAGAAGAATGAGTCAAACCCCGCCGGGTTCGCTGATACTGCCGGTGAATATGAACTTCCGGAATATCTACTAAAACAGATTGCGGTAAAAGAAATGTGAAAGGATCAATAAATAATTCTAAAAAGCCTTCAGAACGGAACCCTAAAGGAACAGCCGAGCGGGAGCTCGTCGAGCGCGACGGAGACGAATCGCCCATCATCCGCACAGAAGAAATCCAATCCGAACCCGAAGAACCCGAAGAACCAGACACCGAAAAACAGGGAGTAGACAATCGCTTGAAATCGACATGCAATTCATAAAAATCTCATTTTTTTCGATCCCAACGTTACAAAATCATATCTCTACCTTCAATTACACTTTCTCTTAACCCACTTGACCAGATCAAATAAACTCTTGATTTTCAGCAAAATTTTTTTTTCTTTCAACTTTATATACAAATCTATCTGAACGAGTTTTTACTTTCATTTTCAGTTTTCATATGGGATGAGTTTTTGTGAGTTCTAATCAGTTTCTCATAGGTTTTATGTCTTTTTTCGACTGAAAATATGTCAAAAACAATTATTGGGATGCTTCGAAATCAGCCCCCGATACCAGTGGTGAACACCTACTGATATTTTTGATACTTTTTGAAAAATTGAAAAAAACTCAAGCGGGGACTGTTGTTGCGCTATTTCGATTTTCTATACAAATGATTTTCTTATAAGAATAAGGTGAGTTTTCATCTGAATTTCGGAGAAATGCCGAATAGGAGCTATTAGAATTGGAATTTGAACCTGGTGGCAGGGAATCGTTCGGAACCACTTGCATCAGTTTATGAGTATCGCTCCTCCGAACCTTCAAACAACTGTCTGGTGCGCCTTCGGTGCGATTTAACCTATTTATTTAAGGGTCCCGTCAATTATATTCAATTTTCAAGCTTCACAAAAAATGTAATTTTCACATAAAAATTAATAAATCAATCAATATTAGGTCACATCCTCTCCTTCTGACCACAATTAAAAATTCCACATATTGAAAAAAATAACGCTTTTTTGTGGCAATACACTCTCTCTAAAATTTATTACTCGTTGGATAATTTCCACTGGCACTTTTTCACTGGTAAGAAGCTCTTTGCACGCTGCTTATTGTAGTTTCTTGTCTTTCGATTGGTGAAAGTGCGAAAAAAGTTATAAAAGACCCCAGGGTCGCCATGTTTGGTGGTTCATGGCTAGGTGAATTCATTTTCGCTGAACGTCCCCCTTTCAAAAATGATCCAATCGAAGATTCAAAAAAAGAAACATCAATAAACAGTGTTGGCATAGGCTTCTGCCACTGAAGAATCACTAATGGAAATTTTGTCAACGGTAATGGGCCAACGAGCCTAGTTTGTTGGGTTTTGGAAGGTGACCCCATTGGAAGAAAACCTTGTTTCCCTTTCATGTACTGAGCCTCTACGTGGCGAAAGGGATCAACAGACGAAAGTCTGGCTAATCAGTACACTATTTAACTTTTTTTTTAATGTTTAGCTTTAATGTTTAGTTTAAAGGTGTTTTTTAGTTGATTTTGACGATTTTCAGAAGACTGGATTTCGTCTTTCAGGTTTCCAACCACTTTTTTTACATTTTCAGTACAAAAGCCAACCAAGAATCAACTGAAAAATATGTTCTTTGTAAATCTTAATGACCGGTACTGTAGATATTCATAAAAGAAATACCTCTAAAATAAAATATATAAACAATAATAATATATAAACAATAATATAATAATAAAATATATAATATATATAATATATATATAATATATAATAATAATGGATAAAAAACCTCTTACATTTTTTTAAGATGCCTGGTGCGCCTTCGGCGCGATCTAACGATCCGGTTGAAACTGGGTTAGGTCGCGCTGAAGGCGCACCAGCAAGCTGGTCTACAATAATAGTCTTTGACTTTGATAGTTTGTCTATTTTTCAGATAAATAAAGTTGTCGTTTCCATTATTATTCTGGTACCAAAAGTCGGAGCTGTGGAAGAGGAGCCGTGGCCACCAGATTTTCTCTTCAACTGCTCCGCCAAAATAATACTTATGTTTCACTTCTTGGTGCCCCCATGCTTCTCCATTCCGCTAACGCGTTCCGTGTACATCGATTTTCCACTCCCCTCCTTTTCTTTTCTTCTTCGGCTTCTCCCGTTTTGCGTATTTCTTTTCCCTTGTATCAAGTTCTTCCTAATTTCTAAACTCCTCCTAATTGCCTAATCACCCATATCGAAATTCCTAACTATCAATTTTCTGATGAAATCATTTGAAAAAGAAGGATCAGGCACATGTTTTGTCAGCACACATGCGTTCCAATGGGATGATGACAAAACACACAGACACGGGATCGAAAAAGATGACAAATCACAAAAGAAAAGTATATAAAGGAGAAAATAAGTACAGTTTAAAGACCAATCTAGCCAATCACTATTTGCTCTGTTTTCTGCTTCTTATTAATTAAAAAATCACATTCAATTACTGTAAATACTCTCAAAGAAGGCAAAAAAAAACTGTGAACTTTGAGCTCATATATCTCGGTTCCTGTAGAAGATATCAAAAAGTGATCAACAGGTAAAATATTATTGATATTATGACAGAGGTTTAATCAGTTAACAACTTTTGACATCTTTCACAGTAACCGAGGTATATGGCCTTAAAGTTGACGGTTTGGCTAGCCTGCCATTAACGTTTTTACGGTTGTTCTTTCCTTACCCTCCATTGGCACCTAGTATATTATCCTACTACTGGATTCATATCTTTGTAAAGTGATATCTGTCTATTTCTCTACTCCTCTCCTGCCATTCATCTGTGTTGATTGACCCTTGTCTCTTATTCTGGCTGATGCAACCGTCTGCCGCGTGCCGCTCAGATTGAGGGGCGGGAAGCGGACACACATCAACGCTTCTCTATATAAATTCTGTTTCCGCGAGAGCCCCCTACACACTCTCTTTCAAATGTATTTTCGTTTTATCAGAAAATTTGTATTTTATCGGCCGGAATTGAGGTTAGTTGGTTATCAACTTGTGATAGTTGAGGAAAATTCAAAGTTTCGATGACATTTGTTTTGTCTTAAAATATTGTAGTCGAGTGTGATATTTAGAAAGTTTTTTTTGATTTTCAATGTGTTATTGACCATTGATAAAGTAATCAGAGTTTTGTTTTTTGGGGTTTGAAGATGTTCTGGCTACTACGAACAAAACTTTTTTTTTCATTAAAATATTCCTAAAGTTATGTATTTTTATAAAATTACTCCGAATGAATACATAAAAAATTGAAAAATTTCAGAAAAAAGTTATTAAAAAATTAGAAAAAAATTCAGAAAAATTCGAAAAAACTTGAAAAATAAAAAAACATCTAGAACATTTCGGAACAATTCAGAAAACGGAGTAAAATTTTGGAAAATTGCATGAAAAACACATAGTGGCCGTGGACTAGGATTCCCGCTACCCTGTTGGACGAAAACTGAGCGCGCCGCCTTTTTCAGGAATTTTGAATTTTTCGAAGTAATATTAAGAAAATATATAAATCTGGGAACATTTTAATGCAAAAAATTTAATCGGAGCCCCCTTATAATGCAATAGAACATTCTTTCGGGATTACCGTATTTCTTCTTATAACAGCCCACCCAAACCCTCAACTTTGAGCTGAATTATCTCGTTTTCTGTGAAAGATATCGAAATTTTGTTAACTGATAAAATATTGGTGATATTATGATGAATAATTTATCAGTTGACAGTTTTTTGATATCTTTTACAGGAATGAATTGAGCTCAATGTGGACGATTTCGGAGGGCATCTTTTAGAGGAAATACGATAATTACCTAGTGCCTTCAATCATATTTTTTTTGAATTAAAGTAATTTTAGTTTTTATGTACACCAATTAAAAATTCAAAAATTTTAATGCCAAAATTTTTTCAATCTTTCAGTGTTTCCAGTTTTGTTTGGGTGAGAAAATTTTGAAACAGATCCACTGCTAGAATCTCAATTCACACAAAACCAAAACTTTTCCTGAACTCTGAACTAGTGATATCATTAAAAGTGAAGTTTAGTCTTTCTTTTTTCAAATCATTTAACGGTTCAACCAATTATTTTATAAGGAATCGTAAAAATTCTCTCTAGATGTGACTTTGGTCATCCAACGTTCTCTGTGATTCCTGCAAAACCAAATTGCCTTGAAATCTTATCAGTTGCTGTTTCGAAAAAACCCTCCGTCAGAAATATCATCATTTTTCTCCTCTTCTCTCACTCTCATCCACTGATGTTTTGAACTTGAACTCTTCCCTTTCGTATCTTCTTCTCTGCTCCAATAAAACATGTGGTGGCTGGTTTTGCAGTAGACAAGACACACAACGTGTTTGAATTTGATAAAGAGGGAAGATAATGAGAAAAGACAGTGTCTAACGAATGGATTTCGATGACATGTGTCTCTCGAAAAACACACAAGATTCACCCCACGTGTTGGCTGGAATTTCAGACGAAACATGTGAGAGTTTCGGTAGATAAGAAGAAGAAAGATCAATAGATAGATCAAGTGGCCAGGGGTGTTCAAATCGAACGATTACGTGATTATAGTCATACGATTCGAAAGTACATTTTTCGTCAGAAAACTGCAAATCTTTCCAGGTCAACAGGAAGTTCTTTCTCCTAATAGAAGCCCACCCAAACCAACCACCGTAAAATTTGAGCTCAATATCTCGATTCCTGTAATAGATATCAAAAATGTTTCAACTGATAAAAAATTGGTGATGTTATGATGAATAACTTATCAGTCGACAAGTTTTTGATATTTTTCTCAGTAATTGAGAAAAATTACCGTAAAACCTCTAATAGAACGACACCCGGATCGTCCACTTTGAGCCTATATATCTCATTTTCTGTGAAAGATATCAAAAAGTGGCTAAAAAAGTGGCTAGTAAAATGTTGCTGATATCCTGATAAACATTTTACTAGTTAACCACTTTTTGATATCTTTCAAAAGAAGTGAGATATATAGGCTCAAAGTGGACGATCCGGGTGTCGTTCTATTAGAGGTTTTACGGTATGTAAAAATTTCAAACATTTGGCAACTGACAATTGATTTATCATAATATCTCAATTTTTTATCGGTTGACAAATCTTTGATATATTTCACTGGAATCGAGATAATTGAGCTCAAAGTTGTAGCCAACTTTCAGACTTTCAGCCGCCGTTCGCACGTTTTGCGGCAACCCCGCCTTACTGGTGGATTTTGAGCTCAATTATCTCGATTCCTGTCAAAGATATGAAAAAGTTGTCAACGGATAAATTGTTTATCGTAATTACAAAAGTGTTTTGTCAGCTGACACATTTTTGATATCTCGCTTAGGAATTGAGTTTAAACTTGCAGAGTGGGGTCTCTAAAGGTTTTACGGTAGATTTTAAATTCAGTCTAATCCTTTCCAGATGAAAGTTCGTGGATGTATGACAGTCTATCCAAAAGTTCAATGCATTTCCTATACGTTTGAAGTTGAACACCCGACTCTTTGCGAGCTGATCCTCTGTTTAGCTGAGAATAGTGAGTTTAAATTTTTCTTTAAATATATCTGTTGTGATTTTCAGGTGATGTTCCGAACGACCGATTCAACAATGACTTGTTCCTAGTGGTCTATAATAGAGATAACAAGCTTATTGGATTGACTCAACATGTTTTAGAGAATCGAAAATATAGAACAGGAGTAATGACAATAAATCCAGGAGATGAAGTGATGATTTTTGGAATGGGAACAACGATGAACAGAAAAAGATCAACTACAGAAATAAGAGCAACTCTGATTGAAGAAAATAATAAATTGAGTAAACGATTCAAGTGAGTAGTATTCCAAATTGGAATTTCCATTCCAATTCACTTCATCATTATCTCAATTTCAGATACGCTTTGATGAACATCTTCGACTCATTTGATGTGGATTTGGATGGTCTACTGAATAAACAAGAAATGAATTTCTATACGGTAGCCAGTGGAGATTCAGAATTGACAGATCAAGACTGGGAAGTGTACCTGAGCAGTTTTGAGAATCGAGATGGAGGTCTTACTATGAAAGGATTCATTAAAATCCACGAAGTCGAAGCCAATGATCCAGAAGGGAATGCTGGAGCAGATTTGTGGCATTCGTTGCATTGTCTCGGTTACGATACTCAGTTATCTTCAGTTTATGGGTGTTCTTATGATATTGAAGTTCACACCAGTCGCCCGGTTCGAATGAATCCAAGATTGCAATACGTTGTCAAAGAGCATAGAGCATTGTAAGTAATCAGGAGTTATTTGAATTTTAAATCGAATCAAACTGACCAAATGAGACTAGATCCAGAAGTCTGGATTAAAACAACTTCAAAGTAAAAAAAAAACAATAAGAAACAATTTTATTCAATCTATTTCAATACATATGGCTATGGGTTATACTCAATTGAGACGTTCTTAGGACATACCATTCTGCCTCCCTAGAACTGCCAGACGGAACTGCTTTGCAACTCCATCTGTCGTATTGGTACATTTGACGGTGATACGATCGTTGTTGGTATCATAAGAAGAAACATTGTACTATATTTCCTTAAACCATCCACCTTTTCAAATCATTTATTTAGGAGGTTACCGTAATTTTATCCGATTTTTCAGTTTTCAGTTAGAAATTTTACACTTTGAGTGCTTACAAAAGTACTTGGTACTTGCCTCATTGATTTTAAATTTTCTGTAGTTATAAGACAGATCTAGAGCTTAATTTTTGTAGTTGATCACTTGGGTTCAAGCCAATGGGTCAGAAATCGCGCCCCAGTAAACGTCAGATTCTATAGAAAAATTCGCTGCTGAATTATGTGGCTGAGGATCAAACTTTTAAACGTTGCACGACAAAATCACGGGTTGCAACTCGTCAATTAAAACTAATTAGGTCAAATCCACGTCAACTTGGAAATTATTAAATTTCTTCTGGCCTAAAAGTTATTTGGGGCGCGTTTTTTGACCCGTTGGCTTGAACCCAAGTGGTTGATGAGTTGTTTGCGAATAGAATTTCTGGGAAGATACATCTAGAATTAACACTAGAAGTATTTTTTTTCAAAACTGTCAACTTTCAGCTCAGTTATCTCGATTCCTGGGAAAAATATCAAATTTTTGTCAACTTATAATTTATTTATCATAATGTCAGAATAATTTTATCAGTTAACAGATTTTCAATATCTTTCACAGGAATCGAGATAAGTGAGCTCAAAGTTGATATAGTTGGATACCGAATTTCCTCCAATGAAAGGCTCACCTAAGCGATTCGCTTTGAGCACAATTATCTCGATTCCTGTGAAAGATAACAAAAATTTGTCAACTGGCAATTTGATGAACTTAATATCACCAATATTTTATCTGTTGACACATTTTTGATATCTTCTATGGAAATCGAGATAAGTGAGCTCAAATGTGGCAGCCCACTTCAGCCGCCGTTTGTCCGCTTTTCGGCAACCCCAGCCATACCAGTGAAATTAACACTACGACGTTTTTTTGTCATGAAAAAACTTCAGCTTTTTATTTCAGCATTTTGGAAAACCTCTACTATTTGGGCGAAGAAGATGATCGCTTCGAAATCCGACCACGACTTTTCAAAACTGATTATTTCGGTCTTCTAATTGCAAGAAGAGAAGAAAAATACGCCAAAGAAACGTATAGAATACAATTAAGCTCACGAGAGCACCTCAAAATCAACTTTCCCCATCAGGTGGACCACATAATCAGATTTGCTGATTCTGATAGTGAATGGGTAATTTTTCAAAAGTCTCTTTTTTGATATGACTTTTGTTCTTCCAGGTTCTAATCGCTTCATACACCGTCACTGATCCGGATGCTCAACTGGAATATATGCTGGAAAAAGTTCAAAGAAGTTCTTCTAATTCTACATCTCCTCTTCTCAGAGCTTGATAAAGATAATAAAGATAATGAATTCATTTAAAACTGTCAAACTGGTTCAATTATTGAACAAAGTGCTTGCAAAAAAGATAAAAACTTGTGGAATGAGGACACGAGGTATAAGGGGACATATTGAGATACTTGGAAATAAGAATAGAGAACAATCGAGTTTTTAAAAAGTTTTGTCGATTATTGAGACGACGGATGCCAGAACTGCTCGAGGTGTTGCTTGTTCTTACGGTAGCACTTCTCACCATATCTAAGAAAAGAAGTTATTTTTTATTGGCATTGTTTTCTTGTTTTTTTTTGTCATTCTAACATGGTGGCAAGCTTTCAGTACAAAAATTGGAAAATAGGGGCGTCCTTCACAAAACTGAAAATAGCGGAAAAACTAGGAATTTTCGAAAAATTCAGTAAATGCAAAGTTTTCAATCTAGATCTGTTTCACACCCTCCAAAGTTTTCAAAGTGATCGGATACTTGACAGCCGAGCACCAGACTCCTGAAAATGGTCAAAATCAACTGAACCCTCCCCCCCCCCC